AATATAAGCATGAGATAATTCTTGATAATTCTTAGCAGACATCGATCTCCTTCTTGATTGTACACTATGACTGATATCTCTATAAACATCTATTTATATTTAGTGACAAGGAGTGGCTTATTCACTGAGTAGAGTTGATTTAACTTTATTAAAGAGAGCAAAGGTTATACTTTCATGGGAATAAGAACCATCTTATTTGTAGTAAAGTTTGAGGGCTTATTTTTAAGGTAATACTACTATTACTATGACTACAGTAAATACATCGTGAAAACAGCCTTTTTTCATTAATCTAGTTTATTAGCCAGAATGTTTTTGTTTATAGAGGTCATAATATATTGAAGGATAGTAAATGACATTATTATCTAAAATCTGGGATATTCTATAGGATATATACCCCATTTCTTCAAAAAGTGATTAGTAATAAAGGAAGACTTGTGGAAAGGTTGGTAAATATTTTTAGATTAAAAGAGACTCCAGAGATATATGAGCCAAATACTTTGATTGTAATTTGAATAAGTCAGGTATAAAAAGATAATTTGGGGAACAATTGAAGAAAGTGACACATACCAAGGTTATATCTACAATTTTGTTTGAAAAAAACTGTATCAAGAGGTCCCTCCCTGGTGGCGCAGCAGGTTAAAGCACTGCACTAAGAAGCTAAAGCCACTTTCCCATTCGTGTTCGAGCCCTACCTGCCCGGGAGGTGATTCACATGGCGTGGCAGACCTCTCCTGGCCCACCCGCTGCTCCCCTTAGCAGTATACTTCATCATTCGGCCTGTTCTGCTCCCCATTCTTTCTGTGGTGAATCCTCTTACTGCCCCTGCACCTCTGGCCTGTACCCCAGTTCAAGAAACAAAATTGGAGGTAATTGATAAATAAGAATCACAAAATATTGATAATTACTGAAGCTTTGTGATGAGTACATGGGTGCGTTACATTATTCTTTCTAGGTTGAAGTTTTCCACAGCTTAAAGTTAAAACTAAATATACATATACTCACATATACAATGAGAAGGAAGTTTATCACAACTGTAATAGCAAACAAGACTATACTTACTATACTTTAGCATTTTAAATTCAGCATATAGCATCCAATTAAACTAAATATGTGTATTGCATTTGGGGGAAGGAAAGCATTTGCATTTTAACACAGCCCTCCCTAACCTACAACTCAGGTTCCTCCTTCCTCCCACTGAATACCATAAAATGTAAAAGATAATGTTTTCTTTGAAAGGAATGATGAACTTTGAATGGAAGATAATCTGGTTTGGGAAAAGCAGGTGGGCCTGGTGCTAGCAGTGAAATATAAATATCTCTGCCTACAATGTTTGTCTTCCTCCTGTGCATTGTACGATTCACCTAAGACTACTATCATCTAATTATGAAGTCAGATACAGCCTTTCTCAGAACTAGAACTTTTGACTTCACATATTAGTCTCTGATAAAAGTATATATTTTACCATAGAACATTTTTTAACCTACTTCTTTTGCTTAGTTCTATAAAAATGTCTTTTAATGAGTAGATTGAACCCTTTTTTACAAGCATATAATTTTTATACAACATAATGTGCCTTCTGGAAATCTTTATTTTCTGAGAGAAAATAATTTAATTTTCTGAGAGAAAATCTTTATTTTCATCGTACTTTCTGCTAAAAAATAGTTTGCGTCTAATCTCAATTTAATTCTACATAGCCACTGTCAAAATAACATGAAAGTGTAAAGATACCTTGCTAAATATATCTTAGTTAAACTGACTTGTCACGTCATCTAAACCCAGAGCTTTTAGTGATAAAATGATTAAGTACAAAAAAGTATGTCAGGAAGACTAGGTTTTGAAAAATGTTACTTGAAAAAATTTTTTAATTAAATATGGCAGTCATTTACATGTCTGTATAACTTTGGGGTACTTCACTTACCCTCACAAAAATCCTGTGCTGGTGTCCTCTATCCTGTCATCTTTCCCCCTGTTCCCTCTGACAACCGGTATGTTTTTTACAGGGCCTAAGAATTGTTTTTTCTGTGCTTTGCTAGTATGTTTTTTGGTTATTTATACTCCACAGATAAGTGAAACAATCCAATGTCTGTCTTTCACTTTTTGGCTTACTTCACTTAGCATAGTCACCTCAAGTTCATCCATTTTATCCCAGAGAGTACTATATTTTATCTTTTGTAAATAGCTGAGTAGTGTTCTATTGGGAATATATTCCATCATTTCTTTATCCAGTGTCTGCCAATGGACACTTGTGACTGGGCAGTTGTGATTGGCAGTTGTGGAAAGTTCAGCTGTGAACAAAGGAAGGCATAAGTCTTTTCATATTAGAGTTTTCATATTCTTCAGGTAAATACCTACCAGAAATATTGGTGGATCATAGAAGCTTTCCATTTTTATTTGTTTAAGGTAGCTCCATACTTTTTACCATAGAGGCACCAAATTGCACTTCTAGCAACAATGGAGTACTTTTTCTCTATACCGTCCCCAAGTTTTGTTGTTCCCATTCACTGCGTATTTTTTTTTTTAAAGATTTATTTATTTGTGCATACAGAACTGGGGTACAGGCCAGAGGCTCAGGGGCAGCGAAAGGCTTCACCAGAGACAGAGTGGGGAGCAGAACAGGCAGATCGACAAAGTACACTGCTGAGGGGAGCAGTGGGAGGGTCAGGAGAGGTCTGCCACGCCATGTGGTCACCTCCGGGGCAGGCGGGAATCGAACTCATGCGGAAGCGGCTTTAGATTCTCAGTGCTGTGCTTTAACCCGCTGCGCCACCAGGGAGGGCCCTCACTGCGTATTTTTTAATAAGAAGAAATATATAATAAACTTTTTATAGCTATTGATAAAAAACAATAATTGTTAATTTTACTGCTATCAGATACTTTTAACTAGGCACTGTATTTACAATCTTACATAGTAAGTGTATGTTAAATATACATACTACATAGACCTCAGTTGGGGTTTTGAAGAAATATAAAATGCTAGAGGGCTAAAAAGAATTGCTAGAAGACTAATAATGTTTGTTTCATAATCTGTAATTCTGTCAGTCTGGGGAAAGAGTTCATTTCCTTGAAGTAGTTGGAAGTACTGTATTAAAAATGTAAAAAGCATGTTTTCTAAAACATTTTATTAAAATCACCCATCTTTTGATGAAAACTGATGAAATTAGTAACCTCTTATCATAATGGGCAAGCACTTTGGCCCTTTCTATAGAGGAGTGCTTTTTATCCTAATTCTTAGTATGCTTGCTTTTTGAATTCATTTAATATACAAAAAAGTTGTTGACAAGGAAATTAATTTTGACCCTCCAGAAGAGGCATCTCCTACTCTATAAAATATGTTCCTACATGTGAAATTTGAGAAGCCAGCAAAATGAACATTCTGTAATTAAAGCTATCATTTTATTAACACTTTTATGCCATCTTGAGGCAGCCAGTACTAAGATTCAAAATTCACTTTTTATTTTAAGGTTTTATTACCAGTATTAACAACCAAATTATAACAATTAAAAGTCATTAAATTAACTCATAAGAATGAATATTTTATATAAAAGAAAAATATCTTTTATTACTTTAAAATAAATGTTAATATCAAATGAACTGAAGATGCTGCTTTATATTGTTTTGCTTATAATTAAATAAGATTTTTTTCAGTAGGTTAAAGCATCACATCATTAATACTCCCCATATTCTAATAATAGAGTTTTTCCTTATATCTTCCTAATACCTAGAGCCAAGTTCAGTTGTTCACAGTAATAGGAATAGAACTGTAAAGCCCATAGTCTAGTACTACTAACTTTCTTAACTTTTCTGACCAAAACTTTTTATCAAAGATACTACCTGACTGGTAAACAGATTAGAACTTGATTGCTTATATTTTCACAGTAACTTGTAGGTTGAATGTATATATGTGTGGTAAAAGACTAATAAAGCACTGGAAAAACTTAATATATGACGTATTTAATCACAAACTAGAGAATCAGTTCCTGACGATTTGTCTACTTACCACCCTTCCTTATGAGGTCCTTGTCATCAGGAGCTGCCTTATTCTACCTTGTATTACAGACATATCATCAGTGTATCTTACTTAAACAAGTGTAGATGATTTTGACCCCTAGAACCTTTCTGAAAGAATCCCCTAGAAACTTCATAAAAGATTGCCATTATTCGCTTTATTCAGGGAAAACAAAATGAAACTGGAATAAATGAAAGAGGAGAAAATGCTCCTATCTTACATAAATACAATAATGTGTAAGGGAAGACGGCAAACATTTAAATTTTTTTAATCATATCTCCGAAATATATATCATTCATCTTTAGTACATGTGTGATCAAAAAGAAGCTTAGTTGTCAGTTTGGGACTTTGCAAATGTGGCCAAAGGAGTTTGCAAAAAATTTACTACATACATACTTTCTGTAAGCCAGCTTAAAACCACCTGTCACTGACCCCTAATAATTAGAAATTTTGAAATCTATATATGAAAGATAAAGTTCTTTCTTGTTAACCATAGTGCACATGTGTGTACATGCATGCACATGGTTGATAATTAGCAGCCATGTGGCAATATAGTCTATACTGATATTTAATAAGCTAGGATGAGAAATTTGAATTGGAAACCAGGTAAATAAACTGCTTGTATAACTAAAATTTTGTATCTCTTTTAAATTTAGAATTAGAGTAACTATTGGAAGTTTGTTTTTTACCACTTTGCTTTGATTTTATACTAAAACCTGCCAAGTAGATAACATCTAAGTGTATCTTTTTCAATATCACAAAGTTACATAAGAGAATCCCCTAGCATGTAAAGAAAAAATGCAATTATTTTCTATTCTGAATCTCCAGACTGCTGTTTTAGAAAATCATATCTGATTATTTGCTCAGCAGAAGATTATTGAGTTGATTTAGCTGTGATTTTACTTAACAAAGCTTCAACTGCATTCCTACTGTGGAGTCCGAAAAAGGTAGAGAGATATAAATGATACATTCAAACTGTGATTTTTGTGAACAGGGCCATCTATGCACCCCTCGGAGCTAATAGCGGAGATGAGAAACAGTGGGTTTGCACTGAAACGAAATGTACTGGGGAGAAACTTGACCGTAAATGATCCATCACAGGTAATGATCTTTTTATCAGTAAGCTGAAAATGTCTATAAATCTAAATGTGATTGCCTGTGAATTGCTACTTAATGTTTTCAAATATGCATATATCCATAGGAAAGTAAGAGAGAGCAAGAAAAATGCCTAAAATATATTTAGTTTTGCTTATTTTAACCTAAATAAGAAGTTGTTTTTAAAACCTATATTTTAATAAATGAACTGTTCCTCCGAGTTTATGTGTAGATAAAACGTAACCAAACTGGTGATAAGGTTGTTATTTTTTCCTTCCTGCCAACTTACCCCTCAAGTGACATTAAATAGGACAAATGGGGAGAGGGTATAAAATAAAAACAAGCCCCTAAAAATTATAGAAAATATTCGAAACTTACTCAGTTTATTACAGTGTAGATCCAGAAAGTGATAGCATTTGAAGGAAGGGTCTTAAATAGCCTAATTCAAACAAACAATTTACTTTATTTGATAAGGAACTGGAGCCCAGAGAAGTTTAAGGGTAATCTCAGATAGAGCCAAGGTTAAAACTGATATTCCCACTGATGTAAACTTTTGCTGCACTGAAGAGAGGTACATTGCATTTCAAAGTTGCTAGGAATAATTTATATAACCTCTATAATAATATATTTGTACTGTTTGATATATTTGATGCAAATTGATATTACATTGGTTCTGATAAAGTTTTAATGCTAGCAAACTCTTAGTACATTCTTATCCTTCTTTGCAGGTAGACTACGAAAGAATTTTTAATTCCCCATCTTCCCAGTTCACAATATATACTCATCTACAGTATATCCCCAATACAAAATGTCTTATTTGTAAATGTTTTCTTTGTGGATTGATAACTAACTTGTCTTGTAGTTAGTCTAGCAAAATAATAACATCTTTGTTGACTCAGGAATATGTTGCAAGTGAAGGTGAAGAAGATCCAGAAGTTGAATTTTTAAAGTCACTAACAACCAAACAGAAACAGAAACTTCTCAGGTAATTAAAGCTGCATATATTTAATATTTAACAGATTTCTTATAATTATTCATCGTAGAATTTTATGCAGTTTGAGCCTAAGAGCTTATATAAAGGTTCTCAAACAGTGCATCACATTTTGTTCAGTAATATGAAAGTGAGTTAAGACTATATATTCAGATTATGCCACAGAATTATGGTACTTCCAGAACATTTAATATAGGTATTACTTTTCATAATAGTTTGGATATATCTTTGCATACAGTTTGTTCTTAGAAATATCACAGGCCAGTTTTATGTTTTTGTACATTTTGTGAGTTTTTATGAGGAATACTGAAAAATGCTTAAATTTAAAATAAGTATAAATCTTTTTAAACAGACTCTCTGGATTATAGAATCCATGACATGTCTGCTAAATCCAATAGAGGGAGCTCATGGTGTTTTCAGTGTGTGGCTTTTTTTGCGAATGTTGACTACACAGGATCTATTTTTTTTCAGGACCTTTTTTTTTTTGGTCAAATTAACTGGGACATACCCATATAAACAGGTTATTCTTCTGAAAATGTAAAGTATTCTTAATAAATTTAGACTACCTTAATAGAATTCTCCTAATTTTTTGTATGTTTAGGTTATTGTTGAAAACTAGCATGTGATTTTTTTTTAGAATGGAAAAGAGTATCAAAAAATATAAAGTGTATTCTTATTCAAAAATCGCTGGAGAATGTGCTTCTGGATTTTGATAATGTTACATGGATTTGTATTTCCATACTTTAAAAGAGTATATACATAAAATTAATTTCACATCTGATTATAGCTGTATATTTGAGTTTTAGTGATCTAATGTAATAAAGCTTTCTTTGGGGTAGGATGATCATTAGTGTCTTGCAGTTTTATAGTTCTGACTCATTAAGTGTTTTAATAGTCTTTACTATTGAGGAAATACTTATTTAAATTTTATGTATATAAAATAGGGCCTGTCTGAGTTAAGGCTCAGTGCTGTCACCAGCTACAGCCAGAGTTCTCTCCCTTGTCAGGGAGGTGACCCACATGACACAGCAGACCTCTCTGACCCACCCATTGCTCCCCTCAGCAGTGAATTTCAGTAGCTCTGCCTGTTCTGCTCCCCACTCTGTCTCTGGTGAATCCTCTCACCTCTGCACCACTGGTCTATACCCCAGTTCTTATATGCACAAATAAATAAATCTTTTAAAAAATTTTAATGTATACAACTGAAATAACTTAAAATGTAAGGGGGAGGGCCCTCCCTGGTGGCGCAGCGGGTTAAAGCACAGCACTGAGAATCTAAAACCGCTTTCGCATGAGTTC